TATAACTAAATAAATAATAAAAATGTTGATATTGTGTTTGCTTCTTGGTTTAAATAAGAGAACAACCTAATCCGGATTTGTGGATCTGTTTTGTCATCCAAACCCTCGGGGCATGCAAGGGACTTTGGGGGATGTCTCGTGGTGTCTGGCTTCAAAAATGACGGCAGCAGGCGGTCTGCTTGTTCTGGCATGCTGTGAATTCTTGATTGGGATCTTGGGAGTTTTTAGATTTTGTCAACACCTTTCTGTTTTTATGGTGAGTCAAGCCACAACATCCTACAGGAGGAGCCTACTGGTGTACTCCAGAGGGGTATGTATGCTCTGTCATAGTGCATCAAGTCACTCAAGTAATTAACAAGAATGTCAGGACCCTTACTGCATTTTAAGAGGAATAAAAATATTATTCACTTCCTGTCACAATCATATATTGGTATTTAAGTTAGTAATTTAATTAGATCCTATTTTTACCTTTTGAGATGGGTCATCATCCAGTTGTTGAAATCTTTTTTTTACTGTGCGGCCTGATGAGGTCACAGTGACTTGGGAGATAGGCTACAAGAGATGGAAAGCATAAACTTTACATTTTCTGAAATTATAAACTATACGCATACAATTCACCTCTATAGGAGACTTCCATCTCTGTTGTAGCCAGGCTGATTTATTGTAAAAGGCTGATCCATCGCAGGTCAATTACATTTATTCAGAAAGCAAAGGACAGCAACTAAAAATCTCAAGCAAATAAATTTTACACTTACATTGTTTCGGTGGGTTTTCAGGGAGAAATCCTCAACGACCTTAGATGGCAGAGCACTGTTTAGTTCACCGAGGATTTTTAGGACACTGGAATATAAAAAAACCAAAACACAAATATTGTACAATAAGTATATTTGGCAAATAAGATAATATGATGATGTTAAATAAATACCGGAGCACTCACTTTATGGTGACAGGTCCCACATGGATAATTCTTCCTGAATCATCAGGATGAAAGAAGATCCCGTCGTTCTCAAGAGAGTAGGAGTCCATCTCTTGTACTCCGTTTGTTGCCTAATTTAATAAAATCAGAAAGCAAAAGATGCAGATTTCTTACAGTTTCTAATTAGCACACAACTTAAAGGCTCTTTCCATCAGGTCTGTTTTCTTGACCAAAAGGTCAAGATGCAAAGAGCAGGTGAGAAAGACAGGAAGTCAGATACAACAAAAAAACAACAGTGCAGAACATTGTAACAGACCCACGACCGACACATTCCCAAGGTTACATTAGTGGACAGTCTAAGCCTATGTCCACACGTACATGGGTATTTTTGAAAAGATTTTATGATCCTATCCGTTTGGGCCTTTCATCCACATGTAAATGGCGTTTGGTGTCACTGAAAACAGAAAAATTTTTTAAACTCCTGCCAGCGTGAAGATTTTCGAAAACTCACTTTTTGCATTTAGGCGACGAGGAAAACTGAGATTTACTCACGCAACGTCAAAGGTGTGCACTGTTTTTGATATCACGCTGTGCGCCACGTTATTGTTTACACGAGATTAATTTCTATAATGGCGGACATAGACAAAATACTATTGCTGTTAATCTGACTATCTGCATTTTTTACACTCTTACATATACAGGCGCAGTTTCTGTCCCTCCATTTAGAAAGACAGAGGCGTCAGAGTGAACTTCGGATGTGGTTTCTGCATTTAACACAGACGCTTTCACAACCCAAATCCAGATGTTGGTTTTGAATAAATTTAACTTTCAAGGTCCATTTTTAAGCTTTTCCAGCACATTACTAGAAAAAAGAAAAAAAGAATGCATGTTCCGCTTATCATCACCTCAGTAAGGCCAAGTAAAAATGAAAACAAATCATTTTAGCTTGACTTAAATGTCCTTTGTTCCCCTTTTGTTAAAACATAGAAAACTGCACCAAAGACAAATACTGAAAAAGGAAATGGTGCACTATGCATATAGTGTACAAACTCAAAAAGCAAATTTCTCTTAAAAATTAAAATTACAAATGTGAACAAATCAACTTGTTAAAGATATTCATCTCCACTTGAACAAAAACAACCCCACAAAAGAAGAAAACTGCACCAAACGCTCCAATAACACACAGCAAGGCCAAATTAATTAGTCTTCTCATCAGATATTGATGCTTCTTTCTAATGTGACACAAAAAAAGGAGACAGATGTTTGTTATTTTAACTAGTTAAGCACCTACACCCCCAAAAATGGGGGAAAAAGGGA